CACACCATTGAGAAATTTGTCCCAGAAATTTCTTGATAATATAGTAGAAAGATCCCCTTTCTCCTGCATTATCAGGATCTCTCTACTAAATCAATTCCATAAGCATAAGTGCTTCAGTATCACGAATCTTAGAAACATGAGAAAAAGCAAAAATTGTTCTGACTCTTGAGTAGCTATCTACCTATTTCTCAGCTCCATTAACTTCTTAAAATAGTTGTCTAAATCGCTATCCCCATTTCTCCCTTCACAATCTCCCCTCATTCCACTCTTGGCTCTTGTCTGCATGACATGTCATAAACTGCCTTTGTCAGTATCACCAAGAACTTCCGTATTACCCAAAACAGTGATATCATTTGTCCCCATCCTCCTCACGCTCACAGTAGTGTTCAATAAATTGACCGTCATCTTCCTCTTGTAAGATTCTTCTCTTGGGTTCTGGAGTAACATATTCTCTGAGTTTTTCCTTCCTCACTGCTGCTCCTTCCTAGTCCTTTCTGGTTCTCCTCTGCTTGCCCTATTTGTGTGGAAATATGGAATGTTTTCAGGTATTCTACTTTCTCTACACTCTCTGCCTAGGAGAGTTCCTCTCATGGCTCTGAATGCAATCTGTACACCAAGGGTTTTCAAACTTACCTACTGAGTCAACCGCTCATTTGACCTATTCACTTAGATGCCCAAAGCTAACATGAACCTTCATTTCCATTTCATTCCCTGTTTCCCTTTTTCCATTGTTCCATGCCCCACCCCAAACAAAACAAGACAATAACATTATCTTGTTCCTCCTCCAGTCTTCATCTCAATAATTGGTACCAAATTCTTCCTGTTGTTTAGGCCAGAAACTTAGAAATCAATCGATTCTTCCATTCCTTTGCATTCCATATCTAATTCATTAACCAGTCTTTTGTTGTTGTTGTTGTTGTTAATGGATTAAACGTCGTTATTTTTCCACTTCTAACTCTATTACCATTCTGCTCCAAAGCCACCGTCATCTCTTGCCTGGATAGCTAAAAAGAGATATCTGTCTGGTTATCATTTTTCTACTTTTGTCACCTTACAATCCACTTTCAACACAGCAGTCGAGTCATATTTTTAAAATATAAATTATTCTGTAACATTCTTCTAATTAAATCCCTCCAGTGGCTTCCCACCACATGCAGAATAAGATCCAAATTCTTAACCCTAGCATCCCAAGGCTTGCATACTCTGACTCCTGGTGCAACCTCTTCCATGGCAGCCCGTAAAATGCATTCCAAAAGACTTGTGAACACAAGTGCTCCAATTCAAGGGTCAGCATGAGCTGAAAATTGGGTACTTGAGAACTATTTAATTCATGCTTTTTGAATGACAAATTACAGTAACCCATTTATCATCTAAGATAAAGTACTACTAATAAAAAAATACACAACCTCTTCTACATGAAGGCTTGATTTAGCATGGTTGAAATAATTTCAGTTTTCAGCTAAATGAGGCATTTAATGAGTATTTGGTCTTATTTTTATGCCTAACTTTTATTTTTAGGCATTTATTTTCTTCCTCAAAAGCAGCCGAAATCTTCCACCTTGAATTAAACTGAAATTACCCAAGTTGCAATCAGCACCCTTACAAAAGGGTTCAAGTATTAGAAGCATTTTGTTCTGGTACATTTGGGCTGGATTTCGATGTGAGGGAGAAAGGCAGAGAGAGGCAGCCTCTGTGATGGAACATGGCAAGAAGAAATTTAGATGCTAAGACTAATCAGATGGGTGAGAAAATCGAGGCCATTTCTATAAGCATAAAATAAAAAGGATAGAACAGCTATTTCTATGCCCATCTTAATAGCTGCAGACCAAATGTACTATAGCCATCAGCACTAATTGTGACAATGACAAACATCACTGCGGTTGGGTCAGATTCTCTAGCCTGCACATTAATAACACTCAAGACCATTCGACAATGTATATGTACTTCAAAGTATGTTGTACATGATAAAAACAATGTTATCTGCCAATTAAATTAAAAAAAGAGACAATCCTGGCCTCATGACTGCTGGTCTCGATCCGGCAAGAGCCACAGAACACATCAATTCTCTTTTATGAAAAAGAAGAAGGTTTCACGTCACTTGCATCATCACTCCAGTTCACAACTTCTGAATTCCTTTGAGGAAAAGCAGCTTCTAGGGTGCTATGTTCTCCTCCGCATTGTTTTTGAATTCGGTGCCTCTCCACGGGGCACTCATGGTGTAGAGCCAATTTATAAAAGAAGTCTTAACAAAAGGAAAACTCTTTGCAGCATCCTGGGGATTTCTCCTTAGCATCCACTTAGATTTTAATAGGATTGACTTTGTTTAGACAGACAAAGAACAAAAGAATAATTTTAAGATTACCCTCTCTTTACTCACAGTATCTCCCCTGATGTGTTACAGTGGAATTCTACCACTTATGGGATTCTTATATTGAGTTAAAATTTTAGATCTCTAAGTTTTTTTTTTGAAAACAGGCTAAGAG